GGGGGGAGGGAGAGGAAGGAGATTAGGTTGCTTGCTATTGGCTAGCTTGAGACAAAGAAGGGCCCGCTTATTGATTACTTGGGTGCAACTGGTACACGTGGACACCTCATGTGCCTGTAGCCGATTGGCTTGGGGAGCGCATGCACACCTCATGTACCTGTAGCCGATTGGCTTTGTGGAGCGCACAGGTTCCTGTAATCAATGCAATGTTTTTAGCTAGAAGCCAGGTGTAAGGTTCCCAACACACTGAGAAGGAGGCCACAGAATCACAAAGAATTTCTTGGTTGGCAACTTGAGGCTTATTCAACCCACTGACATCATTGCCATTACATTAGTTACTTATCACATACCACATCTTAATTTACAACTTCATAAATGACATGTAAGATATAAGAATCCTATCCTTAGTAAACCTTAGGCATTTACCTTATTAGTTCCTTGATTATGGTTTAAAAAGTCTTATAAAGAAATGTCTTAATGCCAGTGCATATTGTGGGTATATTTTGGGAAAATCTCTTCTTTAGTACCCAGCTCCTTTTAAAGACCCTGCTATGTATTCAGGGGGCTCCCCACGACAAGGTGCTTAGGGGAAACTCAGGGAGCAGCCTGCTCAGGTGATTTTTCCCACCGGTCTCCCTTAGTAAGTGGACCATGTTGTCAAACTTTAGCGGTGTAGAAAGATAGGCAATAGATACAGGGATACAAATATACATAAATATAGGAAGAAGGAGAATGTGAGCAAGAGTGAGAGTGAGAGAGACGGAGATCCTATACTTGACCGTCTAGTGGAGAGGAGAGATTAGAAAAAGTTATCACTCACTATGGTGGCAAGCACTAGAGCCAAAATGGTGCTGAGGCAGAGAAAGACAATGGTATATGGAGGAATTGACTTTGTACGGGAAGTCAAAAACTCTTTGAAGAGTTTCCTTTGGGGATGGGAAAAGAACATGCAGAAGATCCAGGAGTGAGACGGAAGTACTAAGCATGGATTGTCATTTCAGCTAGCGGCTAAAGGAGAACGTTGATAAGAGAGAGCAGTGGAGTTTCAACCACACAAATAATTGACTACAATCACCTCAAAATTTCTCATCAGTATCTCTACAAAAATAAAATTGGTAAAATTAAATTTAAATTACATATATAACTAACCTTTATATTTTCCTTTTATTAATGTAATTTCATAATAGGTTTGTAATATACTTGGATATCAATTCTATGATGTCATTTCCCAAATAGCTTCCAAATGCCTTCATCATAAAAAGTCCACATTAAATAAAACACTCACCAATTCAAGATCCAAACTATTTATCATGGCAAAATTCTAATTAATTGTGAGTCAAAGAGAAGATTGTTTTGCATATAAAATTAAAGGAAACATTTATAGCATTAATAGTCACTTTCATGTACTTTTTATTTACATAAGTATCCATCTCAAAGTTGTTTGAATTTTGGAAAGTTCTGTGATCATTTCATGCATGCACAGGAAAATTTGTATACAGTACAAATTAAATGGCTTTTTAAAATTATTCCATTGTTGATTGATTTGATATGAGGTAACTGTTCTGGCTTAATTGCCTTACTCTAAAAAAGCCCTTAGGGGAAAGCGATCCTATGTCTACTCAACAAAAGCAACTAGGAACTACAAATAGAATTTTCTATTTGCCTTGAGATGTGATTAACGGATTCTATCAGGTCTACAGCTTGTTTCTAAAGTCTGAAACTACTGTCTATAATAGCGTCCACAATAAAAATAAAAATAAAAATAAAAAACCTCACAAAAGTGTAAGGAATGGTCTAAAGTTTACCAATATGTTGAGAAAACATGCCCTTAATAAATACCTTGTTTTCCCTGAGTAGGATTTTCAAGATGTTATAGAAAGTTTAATTATGTAGGCCACTCTTTTGGAGAAGTAAGTTTTATATAACAGTGCATTTGGAAATTTTCTGCAAAAACAATAGCATAAAAGAAAGAATTTGGGAAAGAGGAGGAATGGTAAAAGGGGACCTCTCAAAGATTTTTAGCAAGTTAAGTAATTTTTGCCTAGTAAAATAGATTAGACTCTTTAATTTCAACCTTCCGTGGTATTTCCTTTACTTCATTTTTTTCTACATTTAGGGACCATGGTTGACCGGTCCTAGACCTGAAGCCGGTGAATTAAGAACTGATTAGTTCATCCAGAGATGCTCCCCGACAAGCTCCCAGCATATCTGCAGAGATGCCTGGACAGGCCCATCAATGTGATTCCCCACCAGTAGGGCCCTGCTCCCCAAGATGTGCCAGCAGAGGGTCCCTTCAGAAAACCCAGTAGAAAGTTCTTACAAGACCTACCAGTGTAACAGAACACAGCCAAGAGGGGGGGCCCCAGAAAAGGATTTGGGATGTGGTCCAGAGTTCAGGGTGTCCAGGAAATATTAAGATGTCCTCATCCAGCCCCGCCCCCCCGGGGGGTGGGGAAGGAACAAATGGAGCAGGGCCATTGAGAGCTATTTTGCATAGCAACAGTTTTGCAACTAACCTCTGGAATGGTCATTTAACATATCTATAACCCTTAACTGGTTTCATAGATAAGTTAAGTAGCTGTGGCCAAGTTTTGAGCCAGGGAGAAGGGAGTGGTCTCTACCCAGGATGTAACTAAGGGGCAGGTCCTCTGAGTTACAGCACCTGCGTGAAAGCTTGGACTTGATTGGCTCCATACCATGGGGCCATATCTGCCCAGACTAATTATGGCAGCCCAGTCAAGCTGGGAAGGTATGAGAGTCCTGGTAGGTGTAACTGATTGTAGGAGTAGTCGAAAATGGGGCTGCAAAGGAAGATGGGTGCAAAGATTTAAACCCAGACGTGGCAGCCATTGGGGAGAGATCCACGAGGTCTCAGCTGAGTTAAGACCTCCCTCTTGCCGAGGTGAAGAGGAGAGAGAGCCACGCGGTTTGGAGCAGAGTGAGGACCCCTGAAGTCATGTAGGGGAGAACCATGCAGTTTTGGCGAGAGGGCACACCCCTGCAGCTAGGTGAAAGAGAGCCACATGTTTTGGCAGAGTGCGGACCACCCCCCACCTTTCCCAGGTGAAAGGGAAAACCACGCAGCTTTGCCAGAATGGAGATTTCTGCAGCCAGATGAAGAAGAAAGAACCAAATGCTTTTGGTGGAGTGCAGACCCCTGCAGCTTTGGTAGAAGAGGCCCATGCGGCTTTGGGGTGCTCCCTTTGGCCACATGGCCTGGAAAGCAGGAGAGACTTTGACTGGAACTGGGTACAAAGAACTCTTGCCAGTGGACCGTGAGAGGGTACCATAGTACTTTGGATTAACTAGAGAGAGAGATCCTGCCTGCATGGTGACACAGCTGATGGTGCCAGTGGCCTGAAAAACAGACATGTGCTCTTTTCCTGATTTACGGTACCCGGAGTTGGGACAGTGGGAGAAGCGGGAGCTGTGTGGGTGTAGGTGTATACCCTAAAGGACTTTGATATTTTAGTGGAGGCATTAGGCCTGAATAGCATTAAATAAACATTTCGTTTCCTTTTCACAAATCTCTAGCATTGAGAGATGTCTTTCCAATTGGTGGTGGACAGAAGAGCCCAGTAGATATTAGTATTCTGTCCTTGGGAGGGGCCCCTGTTTTGTAGCAGTTTTTGGCATCCCTAGGTGGGCCGAATATTGGCCCCGCCTCGGGCCTCTTGTTCTGTATCACCAGCACAGATATGGGGGACCCACGGTTACTCACAAGTACTCTTTTGGCACCATGTCTTTTGAAATGAGTACTGCAACAACCTCTGTGAATTAAATATTTGCTATAATTCTGTAATCTAAGAAAAGCCACTAGTGTCTCACAGGTGAGTATAATTAGAATATGTCCAGTCTTTCCCATTTGTATTCTACAATCTCATTAGAAATGCCATAGGTGCTAAACAAGAGGACATATAGGAATACTATTTAAATAGAAAACTGTTGGAAACTCATAATCACTATCATTTTACATTGGTTAACTCTTCTCAGGATAATTCAGTCCCTGCCTTCACCAAGCATCCTTGACTCTGGTTTCAAACAGATCCCAGTTCTTTAGTCAACAAACAAATGAAATGAGGGGGAAAAAATTAGAGTCCTCAACACTGGAAGTATTTTATTTTGGATTTTTACTCATGGTTGGCATAATTTTTTTCTGTTTTCAGCCTAAAAATGACAATATTATATAAAATAATTTCTACTCAAGGGTATTTTGGCCTCTGAAATTAAACAAGTAGATACATTAGAGAATACTGCAGGTTTCCTACTCCTGGCTGAGCTAACCCATTTTGTTGTCGTCATTCAAAGAGGGTGTTCCATCTGTGGTTTAGAACAGCAGAAACTCCTTCCACATAACAGCTGTAAGAACTATTTTTTTTTGTTGGCAGTCACAGGATCAGTTTATCAATAAGTAAAGGATCAATTTTACTTACAGGGATATTTTCCAGAAAAGCAAGTTTGGGCTGAATCACACAGCAAAGTGGCAGTTGTCAGCCTGTTCATCAGGCAGGCTGACTCTTTTAACTACCTTAGAAATTGACAGTGGCTTTCCCCAGATTCTACTGACAGTCCCAATCCCACCTCCAAGAATGAATGGGTGGTGAGCAGGAGAGAAAAAAAAAATCTATTCCAAGTTCTCACCCTTCTGTATCCCATAAAACACACCTGATGATTCACAGTGCAGTCCACTGAAGGGGCTGTGAACCCAAAAGACAGTAACAACTAAACAATTAATATCCCGACGTTAACCAATACACAGTCCCAAAGTGCCTGGCCAGGAACCTCCAAGTGAGACTCAGCCCCCAGAACCCTGGAGCAAACGGGCGGGGCCCTGCTGTTGCCAAGGTCACCGTGTGTGTTAGGGCGGCCCACGCACTCCGAGCACGCGCCCGGGAACCAATCGGCGGCCGGCCAAGGCGTTGTCATGGCCACTTTGTGTGTTAGGGCGAGCGCACGCCGGGGCGATGGAGACTCGGCCGCTTTGCCCAGGCCCAGGGCTTGTGAGCGTCTGGGCAGCCGCGCGCTGCTGGACACCAGCCGCTGCCAGCTTTCCTGAGCGCGCGGCATGAACCGCAAGAAGTTGCAGAAGTTGACGGACACCTTAACTAAAAACTGCAAACATTGTAAGTAAGAATGAAGTTCCAGACTAGTAGAAGCTCCTGGTTCAAGTTTCGTACCCTACCCAGTGCTAAATCCTCCGCTTAACCTGATTCCCACCTCCAGCCTCAGGGCTGGTGGAGGCCCCTCTTTTCCCATCGCTAAAGAGAAGTGTGGAAGAGAATATCCAGGTATTAGCTTTGGGGGGCAGACATCCAGGCCTATCAATGATCATAAGGATCAGTATCCAGGTGTCCAGGCATCCACTACTGCTCTCTCACAAATACACGTACTTGCTTCTCAAACGCTCTTTCTAATTTACCTTTAGTTATAGAAACGTGATTTATATAGTCATGAGATACATGTGGTTTTAGCCTCAGACGTACGCATAATATATATATACTAAAAACAACATGGACTCAAGAAAAGTAGTATGACCAACACACACCTGCATTCTAGCTTTCTAGAGCAAATAAACTGGCAGTGTCCAAGTCCTGGAAACTTACCAAGAGATCCAAAGGGTAGATGGTAATCAGTGATCCTTAGGAAAGAATCTCGTATCAGAGCAAGGAGGAAAGTGGAACCAAAGAGCTCACCAAAGCCAAACACATTATTATGTGTTCATACATAATACATTAGTATGTATTATATGTTCCCTCCCATACTTCCACTTTCCAGTTGCTGGTGGGGTTGCCACATAAAGAAGACTTTGCAGGTGACAAGATGAGTAGTTATTAAAGATGCTTGCTCCACACACATTCTCAAAGGTGGTTCCAAAATTTCATAAGCAAGAGTAGAATTGTATTCAAACTGAAAACAGAACTATACCTAGGCCAGGAAGCTAAGAATGTGGTTTAGGTGAAAAAGATATTGTCAAATGAGCAAGCTTATAAATTTGGGCTGATTGCAAAACTACTGGCCACTTGAGGAAGTGGAAGAGGTCATAATCTCTACTTTAAGACCAACCCCAGTGGGAAAAAAAGGAGGAATAAATATGGTTTAATGTAGTTTTAGAGATTATGGGATCCTAGTGCCTTTTAATTGTATTTAGCATCTCATGCAATGAGTGGTAAGAAAGGCTCTCTTAGTAGAGTGGTGTAAATAAAAATTGGAGTGTGCGTGTAAGCATCTTAAACTTAGAAAAAAGCCATTCTATAAGGCATTGTTCTGATTATTATAATCTGATGAGAGTTTTATTCTGTTGTTGTTTTTCTTAAAATACTTCCATTTCTTGGAGAAGACTGGCCTTCTAAAAACATCTAGTAAACATTTTGAATAAAAAATAACTTCAATAGACAATACTGAATTTAATTCACTCCATGTTCAGTAAGTTTGCAAAATATTGCAGACATTCTGTGAACAATCAGAAGATGAGTGTATTAAAAGATAAGGAAAACAGGGCAGGAGAAAGCCTTTTGCTTTGTGTACTTACATAAAAATTTTAAAGTGAGCCTTAAAAACCTAGCTAACATAATGCAAATAGTTACAAGTCATGGACTTATAATAATTTTAAATTTCTTCAAATAAAGGGCCTTTCCCCTAAAGTCCTATTTTCTTTTAGTTATCACATGATAATCCCACTAGGATGAAATGAATCAATTTTGTGGAATCAGAAAAGAGGGAAGTATTTTAAGTGATCATCTAATTAATCCACCATTCTACAGATAAGGATCTGAAGAACAAACTAGCCAACCCCCCAGAAAAGGAAAACCATCCGAGAATTATTTAATATTGTATTCTAGAAGTTAAGAAACATTTTAGCAAGAAACATTTTCTTTTGCCTAATCTTGGATTATTTGGGTAATAAATTAACCTGTTTTTTTTTGAGAGGGGGAGAGAGAGAGAAGGAAGGGCAGGGAGAGAGAAGAGAAGAGAAATGTCTGTGTGAGGAAGAAACATTGATCTTTTGCCTATTTTATGTGCCCTGGCTGGGAATTGAACCCACAATCTTTCAGTATACAGAACAATGCTCCAACCAACTGAGCCTCACCAATTGCTCAAAATATTAAGCTAATATTCTTTAAATTTTTATTTCAGTTGAAATGGAAAAGATAAAACATGACATGCTAGCAAAGGGGATTTTGAATAGTCATTCTTTATGCCAACTTTTCTTCCCCTACCAACTAACAACCTTTTTACTTTTACAGCTTTTTAAATTGTGGTTAAAATTTACTGTTTTAAGCATGTTAAGTGCACAGCTCTGTGGCATTAAGTTCATTGAAATTGTTGTGCAACTGTTACCACTTTTCTTCTCCAGAACTTTTACACATTTTCCAACTGAAACTCTATACCCATTATATCCACAGGATAACTACCCATTTTCCCTTTCTCCAAAGCTCTGGCAACAACCATTCTACTTTCTGTCTTCATGAACTTTACCACTCTAGGTACATCATAAAAGTGAAATCATACACTATTTGTCTTTTGGTTTTTTTGCTTCGCTTATTTCACTCACCATAATGTTTTCGAGGTTTATCCATGTTGTTGCATTGTCAAAATTTCCTCCCTTTTTAAAACTGAGTAACATTCCCTCATATGCATATACTACCTTTCAATTGCTTCCACTTCTGGCTACTGTGAATAATAGTACTAGCGAACAGTGGTGCTCAAGTGTCTGGGTCCCTGTATTCAAGTCTTTTGAATATTCACCCAGAAGTGGAAACACTGAATTGTATAGTATTTCTGTGTTTTCTACAGCAACTAGCAGCTCTTTTGAAAATTATAATCATTATATTCTCATCTACTATTTAATTTACTTACTAATTCATTTGTTTTTTTGAAGTTTTGGATATTTTTCTTACATCCTGGTACCCAAACCAGAATTACACTCACCTGTCATGACCTGTAGGACTAGAAGTGATTTCTTAATTTCTGTGTTGTTTTCTTTTACATGCACACAGTTTTTCCTTATTTTTAAATCTGTAATCCATATTCCACCAATAATTCATATTTAAACTCACTTCTGTGTTCTCCGTGCTATCCAATAATCCTTCCACTTGCTTATCTCAAGTGGGGATTGTAACACAAATAATTAGCTCAGTGTTAAACACCACCCTTTATACAATTGTGTGTGTAGACAAATATAAAGATGTGTGTCTATTTTTTCAATAAAAATTGCCTTCATCCAACCTGGCCAGGTGGCTCAGTTGTTAGAGAGTTGTCCTGTACCCCAAAAGGTTGCAGGTTCCACTCCCTAGGACACATACCTAGCTTTGGGATTTGATCCCTGGTCAGCATATGGGAGGCAACTGATCGATGTTTCTCTTTCACATCACTCCCTCCTTTCCTCTCTATTATAAATAAACTTATTCTCAGGTGAGGATTAAAAATAAAATTGCCTTCACCCAAACTACCATTGAAGAGTTGCATGTTAATTTTCATAGCATCTGCAACAAGAACCACAAGAGTGCTGATATATGCTTACATACTTTTTATTGGAAAATAGGTGACTTTCATTTACAAAATCTGGCTCATGAATTTATGAAGGCTAATATGAGGTAAAAATTGTTGCCCAGTTTTCAGGAGCCTGCCATCCATTTCTAGGAAAGTGTTAAGTTACAAATCTCACAAAGGAGTATGATCAAAATCCTGAGGGAAGTGTTACCATTCCTGAACATTACCATGCTTATCGAACCATATCTCTACTGCCTTGTAAAGTTTGGAGTCTGACCCCACAATCATTATTCAGGGAACTTGGATATGTTAACTTTTTCTTTCCTGAGTTTGACTGGGCTAGCATCTGTGTAATATGGGAGGGAAGGCTTTTTCTCTTGATTTGGGGGAGAGTCATCTGTAGTAGCCATCCTTTATTAACCCAGGAGTCATGAATCTCAAACCAGAATTGTCTCCTCTTGACGACTACATACTTGATGGCTTGCTAGTTTTTGTCTATAAATTCATTAATGTAAAATTTAAGTTAGAAAGTAAAAATTAAAATACATTTTGTCATATCTTAATTTTATTCTCTCACAGTTAATAAATTTGAAGTGAAATGTCTTATAAATCTTTTTTATAAATTGATGGGAGATGTAACAAAGCGGCAAGGTGCGGTCACTGGACTGGATCGCAATGCCTTTCGAAATATCTTGCACGTGACATTTGGAATGACAGATGACATGATTATGGACAGAGGTAAGAAGACATGAAGATTAACCATAACTGAAAAAAAAAGTTTAGAATTTGGACAGGCTGTTGGTTAAAAGCTTAATGTTCTGTATTTCTAGTTTCACAGGAATGTAAAATTTAAATTTTTATATTCAAGAACATATCATAGGGGCAGAAATAGTATCACTCTATTTTGTATATTTAATAAGAGGACAAAGTGAGCTTGAAAAATTAGGTTTCCCTTCCTTTTTATTAGAAAACCTAAAATATATCTGTTTTTACTTAGTAAATGCAATAATAAATAATAGTTTTAAAATGACATTTAAGATTGCATTGGAAGTATTAAGAAATAGTCCAGGCTATTGTGTAATAGCATTACATTTGTTGAGAAACAAAAGTATAAAATTATATATTTTATGTTAACATATTAATATGTGTGTACATTAATAATTAGTTATTAATATATGTAGATATTCTGGATTTACTTTATTCCCACAAAGTATGAGGGGGAAATGTGAATGTTTAATTTTTTAAACATTTTACTTACTTATTTTTAGGTACTAAAGAAGGGAAAGGAAAGACAAAAAGAGGAAGAAAAACACTGAATAGTTGCCTACTGCATGCCCCAAATGGGTACCTGGCCAGCAACCCAGGCATATGCCCTGACCTGAAACTGAACCAGTGACCTTTTGGTTCACAGGTCAGTGCTCAATCTGCTGAGCCACACCATCCAGGGCAAAATATGAACATTTAAATAAAAAACTTTTCCAATTTCATAATGTCTTAATTTCTTCCTTTGTCAAATGAGAATGTTGGACCATATGAAGTTTTGTTTAAATTTTAAAAGTGAGTGGTACCGATGTAGTACATTGCTGAGATTAAAGATGCAGCACACATATTATATTGTATTTTTCTTTCTTTTTAGTATTTCGAGGTTTTGATAAAGACAACGATGGTAGTATAAACGTATCAGAGTGGGTTTATGGATTATCACTGTTTCTTCGAGGAACTTTGGAAGAAAAAATGAAATGTAAGATTTTGGGTTATTCTGCTTGTTTGTACATTATGATTCACATATCTAAGGAATTTAAATTGATGTCCTCCAACCCATCCAGTGAAGTAGGTTGTCTGTTAGTTGCTCGGTTTGAATTTCCATTAGCTTCTTTTATGGTACAAATTCAAGTCAATGATAAAGGTTGGAAAAATTAAAAGGGAAATCAAGAGATTTTTGAAGAATAATTCATGCCAAGAAAGACTACATAGGCATATTATACATGTGCTAATCATGTACATATACATTTACATATCAATGTACTAGGATTTTACATATTAACTACTTGAATTGTAACCATAAAAGTAGAAAATATCGATTCTAGTATTCTAATAATTAGTTTATTCTTAATTTTGATAAACTTTGTTTAAGAATAATATTTCAATCAGTTTTCCAAGAGTTTCAAAATGAAAATGTTGAAGTTACTGTTTCTTGTCGTGCTTTTCCATAGCTGAGTGTAACAAAAACGTTTTCTAAGGATTGTTGCATATATTCAGCAAGTGTGCATTAAGTATTTGTCATGGAAATTAGATTCTGTTAAGGGCTTCAGGACTGATAAGAACATCAACAATATAGATGTTGGCCTTGAAAACTTGATCAGAGCAAGTAGTACCTTAGTGGTGATACCAAATTCATAATTGGCTATTTTTTTAAAGATTGCTTTGAAGTGTTTGACTTGAATGGTGATGGATTCATTTCAAAGGAGGAAATGTTCCATATGTTGAAAAACAGCCTTCTCAAACAGCCATCTGAAGAAGACCCTGATGAAGGAATTAAAGATTTGGTTGAAATAACACTTAAGAAAATGGTCAGTATGAATAAATTAGAGTTTTATATTAAAATTTTCAGGCTAGATGTGGGATAAAACATAATTCAATTTATAGTAACTATCAGTTTCCTGCTTGGTGAAATCAAACACTTGGATTATGTTCTTTTACTATAATATTAAAAGCTCTATTCAATTTCAGTATTTAGTCTCTTATTTTCTAACACTTTTTTAAAAATTAACACTTGTCCATGAAAAGGCAGCTGTATTTGTGATAAGTATTTTACATGTTGACTAACCTATGGCTGGTCACCCCCAGGATCATGACCATGATGGGAAATTGTCCTTCTCAGACTATGAACAAGCTGTGAGAGAAGAGACTCTTCTGCTGGAAGCTTTTGGACCATGCTTACCTGATCCAAAGGTGAATAAATATTATTTCCACTGAACAGTGACCAAAAATATAATGAGGATCAGCAGCCTAAGACTTCTTGGTTTGGTGAATGATGCATGAGATGAATCACCCTCCCCACAGAGAATAGCTGCTAAATAGAGAAAGCCCACTGAAGAACCTGATGGTTCATCTTATAGTACTATGGTAGCCCAATGCTGTGTTTTTCATTTATTAATTCATTCATTTATATAAGAAATAATTATTGAAGATTAATGGGGGCCAGAAGCACAGAAGAAAGGCTCAATGACAGTGCTCAAGGGCTAATATTTTTCTGGGAAAAACAGACATTATTTTTGTTGAAAATTACTGTTGAAAATAATTATTCAACAGTATGACAAATATTATAATAATAGTCAATGACTTTTATAGGGTTTTATTTATCCTAGGCACTGTCATAAGCACTATGCCCTACATTGCCGCATTTAACTCCCCCAACAGCCCTATAAAGTATTATGATTATTATCATTTTACAGATAAGGAAACTGAGGCTTGCAAAGTTTAGGCAACTTGTTCAAGTTCATGCAACAGTTATGGAGTACCTGGGTTCTGGAGTCCATAGAGATATGCATAGAATATTGTGGTAGCCATAAACTGGATGTTTCAAATGATTGGTAAATGGCTGGTGGAAAAGGGAAGACTAGGTTGTAAGGACAAATAGCTAAGTCAAAATGGGGAAGAATAATGTCCCATCTGCAAAAGAAGAAAATAGAAAAGAAAAGGAGAAGGGAGGGCGGGGGAGAAAGAGGAAGGAAAGGAAGGAGAAAGGGAGAAAGGAAGGAAAGAAAGTAAAGGAATTACCTTAATTCCACACCTACCTACCTTTATGTCCTGTCCAATGGCTTTCTTTTTAACAGTCAGGCATCTTGAGGGAATTGTTCACATGTGCAATCTATACCTGTCCACCGTAATTCTTCCTGTCCACTCCTGAATCTGCTCTTGCTGAGATCACCACACCCTCTTTGTTAATAAATCCCAATCATTCAGCTCTTGGATTCTTGTCTCACTGTACCACATTACTTCCCCACCTTCAGCTTTTGGGACAGCTTCTCCTGCTCTGGGAAGCCCCTCTGCTACCTGCCATAACCAGGCTGTGACCTAATAAGTCCTCCTGGCCTCCCATAATCTACAGTGTATTTACTTGATTGAAACCTTCAGTGCAGTGAATTAAGCTCACCAGTTTATGGACAGCCTCTGCTACTAGTCTGGAGGCTCCTAGAGTGCTGAGTCATGTAGTCTTGCTGATCTTTGTCACCCCATATCAAGTATTGTGCTTGGAACATAGCCTGTACTGTCACTATCAGTGATTGAAAAAAATGCATGAGCATCCCAAGTTCTTGATCCCATTCTTGCTGTTACCTTGTTTCTCTTCAAAGAGGACATACAGAATATTTTGTTTTGTTCTGCTTTCTTGGAAGTCTGTACTAATTTTGAGCATTTCATTTTACAGAGCCAGATGGAATTTGAAGCCCATGTATTCAAAGAGCCAAATGAATTCAATGACATATGAATACCACAATGTTTGTGTTGCCTCAAGTGAGTAAAATAGGAAGTGTATATGTTTTCTGCTTAGCTCAGAAAGATGATGTTGAACTGTGTGTTTGGGGTGAGGAATGGTGTTAACATACATATGTTCTTCAACTTCGGTCTAAAACCAGGTAAGATGGATGGAAGATAAGAAGTTTCTTATTAGATGTTGGGTTTGATAAAACAATTTAACATTGCTGGAGGTATTTTATACCTAGACATCTGCTGAAGCACATAACTATTGTAAAATGTTTGTATTAGTGAAATGAATAGCAAGATTATGTAATCATGAATTATTAAGACAGATACTCATGCTAGAAAAATACTGGGTATAATAAATTTAAGAATCACTAAAATTACTGAATGTTTTTGGAGCCGTAAATAATTAAGATGGCATCAAATGATATTGGCATTTAGCATTAAAATACCTTTCTGCTAGGCACTGACAAAGATTTAGAGAAATGAGAGAAACATGTAACCTATTTTAATATGATCTCTATTGTTTGAGGCTTTGCCATAACAACCTGACTAGATTGTTAGTGTCTGAGGGCAGGGGTCTTATCACACCCGTCTTTGTATCTGTCTCAGCATTTATTACAGTCCTCTGCACAGAGTGGGCTCTCAATAAATACTGTGGATTGAAAAGTACAAAGTACAACAAGAAAAATCCAAACTCTTGTCCAGCAGCAAAAGAGGAAAGTGCTGTTTCTTGAGTTTAATGAATGGCGCATGGGTACAGCTTTCAGCTTCTCTCTGGAGTCATCCTGGTTGCTCCCCACCCCTGCCATGGCACTCAGCTGGGAAGCCTGTTCGGGGATCTGTTTTTCTCCTTCACCTCCACTCTTTGTCCCCATAGAAAAGTGTACCTCAGTGGTATCCCCCACTGCCTGGGATCTCCCTTGTGTACCCCCTTAAAAAGGGACCTGACTTGCCCTCTGCCCCTCACTATCACACAGGTGCCTGTAGGCATTGGATGGAAGCATGAGAAAGATGAAGCCTAGTTATGTTCTATGAGTTATTAGCTCTTTCAGTAAACACATGCAAACAACTGATATCTCTCTGTCAATATATAAACATTTAGAAGCTGCTTGGATATTAAAGATCTTTTACTACATATACATTATTAGCATTAAACAAAAGAGTACATTGGATAAAAGTTGGACAGTTACAAATAAATATAATAAGCAGTTACAAAATAAAGATATTTTACTGTCCCAGTATGTTTTTTAAACTTAGATTGTTATATACTCGGACTCTGACACAATTCTTCTATCTTGAGTATGTGTAAGTAATGCAATAGGCAATGTTTTTAATTTCTTAATAGTAATTTTCTGATTACAAAGTAATAGAGATTCCTGCAAAATACTTTAGAAGTTTAGGAAGTAAATACAATTATATATTAATATTCTGGTATAGATCCTTTCAGGTTCTCTTAAGGCATTTGTAAGTATATCTATATCTTTTTCGGTGATCACATTGAAAATGCTCTTGTCAAAGCTGCTTGTTTTATGTGTCACTCTCTCACAAACATTTCTCAGGTCACTAGATACCGCTCTATAGCCTCACTTGCCGTGGATGCCTGCTGTCCCATCACTGCAGACCCGTTAAATCACTCCCCACCACTGGCATGTTGGTTGTTCGCACATTTTTGTTATTATAAATAATTTCCAAAGCGAACTGTCCTTACAGATAAGTCTTTTCACGTGAATCATTGGTTATGTCCTTGGAGTGAGTTTGTAAATGTAGGAATGTTGGGTTGGAGGCCAGTATAATTGTGAGATTTCTAGCACATGTTACCAGATTACCCTCCAGGAAGTCCTGCTGCATGAGAGTGCCAGTTCTTCTCCATATGGTGTACATTCCTTTAACTTTGCTAATGGCATGGGCCAAAATTGACCAAGATTTTAATTTATCATTTAAAGAACTAATCTTGTACATCTGTATCTAAACTTCTTATTCTAGTTTGATTAAAAATCGAGTTCATGTGAATAACCCTGTGCTACTACATGATATTATTTCAAGCTAAAAATACTTTTAAAAATTTCTAAATAATTTTAGTGACACTTATGATGATATCAGTCCCTGACTGTAAGAACTCATGAGCTCTGTTCATGAGCTGTCCTGTATATTATAGAACATACCACCCCGGCTATTCCTCATCATAATTTGCCCAAATTATTTCCTTCTGCTAGTATATCTAGATTTCTGGATTCTTTTAATTTGACTACTGTAGCAACTCATAAATGATGTGAACACTGAAAATTCACTCAACTTAGTAGCAGGGTCATCTGACTACAGATTATCTTTGAGGAAGAGCTTTCTTTCCTCACTCTGAGCTCGGTGGCCCCTAGCCTCCTGCTGCCAGGCTTGCCCTGACCCCTTTTCCTTGTGAGTACAGCCAACAGCCAACGTTCTCAGCCCCGTGTTTGCCTGCCCGTGGAGAAGCTGGGTTAGGACTATGGATGAACAAATGTAATTTGGAGAAGTTAGTATAGTTGCCCTCTCACTGACTTCTCAAAGCTTTGGCTTCCCTCTCTCCTCTCATGCTCTGGTAGGACCAGCAGAAAGCAGGTCAGGCTCCTGTGGGAGCGGGGAGCACCACCCTGCAAGCAGCATGGAGGTATTCTGTTTGGGAAACAATCAACTTCTTTTTTTTTAACTCCAGGATTTAAAAACTGCCACTGCAAACTGGCAGTCCTGCATTCTTAACCTGCACATATCTTTGGATACAAGATTGCACTTGTAAGAAGCCAAGCCAGCAATTGCTGGCGTTATAAAATCATCCAAAACATTCACTAAGTTCCTACTTTGTGCTAAGCCTTGAGACTTAACGTATTCCAGGTCAGCTGCCCTTCCCTCACCTTGTTTGTGTTGTACAATGAGGATTCTATGCCATGTGATAGTGCTGTCATCACTGATCACTGTTCAGAGTCACTGTGACAGCCTTTCTCCCACCCTTATTCTCCCCTGCCCCCCAAAAGTTACATTATCTTTAATTAAAGAATATGTTAAAGGAAATTGAAATAGAATATAGTGTGAAACTAGAAAGACAGTTGTCATATCTGGAAAAGGTTTCTCTGAGCTGCTCCTCAGATTGTCCCTTTTCCCCCGCCACATTTTATCTGACTGCATCCATTTCCTCATAGAATCATCCCCTAATTCCCCTGTAGCATCCAGAGCTGATGACTAATTCCCACCAACTATGGCAAAGAAAGGCTGGGATTTGCATTTGACATGAAGAGACTACAAAAGATACATACCAAAATAAAACTTTAACCCATACGTATGTTAATTACAATTTATCATATTGTAAGGGTTGGCGATAGTCAGAAGAAGTAGAAATACTGTATTTGTTTTCTTTACTATTGCAGCTACCTTTTCTGTTAGAGTAAAGGAGATGATTTCTTGAAGTGCTTTCAGTCTCAGTTGCCACTGAAGGAGGAGCCTCCTGAATACAGCCAAGCAAATCAAAGCCTCCTTCTCATGAGATGTATCTGAAGGAGACTTGCCCAGTTTCACATGGGGAGCAAAAAAAGGAATCAAGTCTAACAGTGAAACATTCTGAGTGAAGTAAAGCATGCTTCTGTGTTTGAAATGTCTTTATCAGAGGGTCGTTACCTTATGCAGCAGTTAACTGCTTCCAGTTCCATCACTGGCAATTTGTGGCTTTCTGTGTACCTCACACCTTCTACCTAATCTGTCAAGAATATATTTCTCCTCCTAAGACACACATCATTTTGTTTATTTCACCTCCTTCTGCCCATTAGCCCACACTGCCCCTATTTTATGGCCCAACCAGCCTTACAGAGAGTGCCCTGGGTAAGAAGTTTGTCAACTTAAAGGGCATTTGAATAAATACGGTGAAACACAGGCTGTCTTCCCCTTAACCTGAGTTGCTCCTTCCTGTCTCCTGTCTGCATCTCCAAAGTCTTTGTGTGAACTGAGGGTACACACGGCTTAGAGCCAGGCAACAGCGAGCCTGAAGATGGAGAATGGCATGCAGGTTGGCAGAGGGAGTCACAAGTTCTCTCTGCCAGTGGCTTCTAGAACTACAGTCGCTACTTCCTGGTAGAAGCCATTAGCCTCACAGCACAGGGCAGTCCAGGAGATTAATTAAAACCATTTGGTCAGGTCCTCCTTAATGAATCCTGCTGACATACAGCAGAGTCATAAAGTAGAATAAAACAATCCCCATAATCTCTATAATACATCATACAAAAATCCAATGAACACTTTTATTCCAAGCATTATGCTAAATACCACATTCATCGTCTCACTCATTTCTTACAACTATTGTAAGAGGGAAATGTAAACAGTTTCATCTGTTACTTAATAGTTTCATCCTACAGATTGAGAGAATTGGAGTTTAGGGAAATGGAGAAAATGTCTCAATGTCCCACACTGGTAAATAGCAAAGCCAAGATTCAGAACTCATCTAGTTCTAATGTTGAGACCCTTTTTCTAAAGAAACATTTATTCTTCTTGCCACAGATAACCCCCTGAGGCTTGGAGTAATTGAGAACTCCAGGATCCTGAAGAATCTTCAAATTGCCCCTTTAAGACTGCCTGGTGGTGCTATGTAATACCTATGTTTGTGAGTGAGGCCATTGACGACTCTGTCCAGGACTCTCTTTTCATCTGAAACACCTTGGGATTTTGGAATTTTCTTTCCTTAGCTGAAGTTTCCAGTTTGGAAGTAAAGCGTCCATGTTTGGTACCAATGTCAATCTTAACCTCAGGTTGGAACCTGTCCTTGCCAAGAGGGAATAGTAAGTAATGAGGCTTCAGACTCTATGACTCCAAGGTCAGCATGGGGGCAAAAGTGAGACCTGTGTCAGTGAACCACAGAAGCTGAGATCACTGCTGGTTTATGAAGAGAATAGCAGAAGTCCTTCTGGAGGGAGGGAAAAGAGCTGAATTCCTCAAATGGACAAGGACAAAGAATGATTTGGGTTTTTTTTTTTTTTTTTTGAGCCATCTTGGGTGGTATCAGAGAAAGACTTCTATCTGGACAAGAAAAAGATGCCCATGAGGAGAAACCATGTTATCAAGCAGCAAATACAAGAAATGATTATAGAGCGCTTATTAGGTGGCAGTACTTAGCCCAAGGATATACCACTAGGAGACTTGTACCTTGGATTTGCAGCACAGGCCCCCAAGCTGCCCATAGCTCTCACCTGGCCTGCTTCTGACTGTCATGAGCTCTCACCTTGCCTTGCACAGACCACATGCACTTTGAAAGCCTAACGTAAATAAAAACAATTTCGAGATCATAGTATTTATCACCCAAACTGGGGTAATATTGAGAGAGAAAGGAGATGCTAATAATTACATCAGGACAGCATAATTTGGGGTTGTCCCAGACAAAGCAGAATGTATGGTCACCCTATTTATAGTCTATAAAATACTCCAAAAACTGCACTTCATATAAAATGGAAATAATACCTACTCTCTACTTTTATTTCACAGGGTTTTTGTAAAAATTTAATGAGATAATGTCTATGATACCATTTTGTAAACTATGATACAATACACAAATTAACATAGATATGCATTAGACAGGGGAAGATGTGCCCTGTATTAGTGGATGCTTATGTTCTCAATAGGAGCTCATATGTAATTATTAAATAAGAGCACCTAAAACCTGGAAATAAAAATTCCTGGCTTCTGGGAAATTTCATGGGATCAAATGTATGATATTGCTTAAGTTACTTAGCCAGTTAAAGGAAGTTAAAGGATATCTGGAAGATACCTTTAGTAATGTAGCTTACTTAGAGAAATGAATGCCTTGAAACTAAGACAAAATTCCAATGTAAATATCACCCAGAATTTTTGTGAATATTACAGTTTTAGTACTTGTGAAGCGACCCATCCTATTAACACACGTATGTGCACACACACACCATCTCTGTCATTTCAAACTCACAGATACACATGGTAGTTTATCCCACTTAACAGCTCTTTTAATTTCTCTTCATGAATATCCCACTCATTCTACAGCCATTGGCCCATAGGACTAATGACTATGGTCCTGATTAACCACAGTCAAAACTTAATGTGTTTGTTGTGCTGTTTCTAAGGTACTGAAGAAATGAAGATAAATTGATAAAATGTATGGTTTTTATAACAGTATAAAGGTCTAAAATCCCACTAGGAAAGAGAAACTTGAATCCAAATCATATTAGCTCCATCCAGCCAAATTCATACATTTCTCTACCTGTTTCATTCTTAAACTGGATCGTGTAAACTTGACTAATTACAAAACAGGCTGCCGGCCTCTGTGAGTTTCTAAATATTGCTTAGTTTTGTTTATTTTGATTTATATAAATACAGAAAAGAACATAGCCACCCTAGGAATTAAAGTCATTAAGAAGGGGGTGCACCCTTTTTGTATCCAAGGACTCTGAAAATCATCCTGTTGGTACTGATGCATGATGTGCTCTTGCCATTGCATCCAACGGCTGCAGACTGCATACCAGATGACAAAAGCAATATGCAAAAGAGGACATGGTCCCTACATGCAAGGAGCACACAATCTAGGCATCAGATTTACTGTTGTATTAGATGGGGAAGAGGAGGAGGGAAAGAAGAACCAGGAGAGAAAAGAAGGCCAGGAGGATATGGAAAAATAAAAAGATTAACTGTGTGAAAGCAAATGTTTTATGGCATGGATTTTTTAAAGAAAACAGGAAAGTTAAGGGGGAGATGCTTTTCTCTCCTTACATATTAGTACAAAAAATCAAATGGTAGATATAAAAGCGACCACCTCGCTTTGCCGGGCTTGTTGAGAAGTTAGTGGAGTGCAGGAGATATCATCACGGGCAGAGCAGGATGTGGAGCAGGCCAGGGCCTGCACACCCAGCACAAGGTATGTGACTGAAAGGCAAGGAGCTGGCCTGCGGCAGGTGCAGCGCAGCCAGTGCCCTCGGCCCCAGGAAAGGAAAACCTGCAGGTGCAGTCGAGACATGTCCTGAGTCTCCAAAGCCACGCGTTTTTCTGAATAGTTGTCCTATCTTCATTGTCTGCCGGCAAGATTATGGTTTTCAGAGGGAGGGGAAGAAAGAGGGAGTGGTTTGGTGGAGTCTCCAGTTCTGGGGCTTTGATGACACACGCAAGCTGCTCCAGAAGTGAGGTGCAGTCAGAGGAGGTGGGACTGTGCGAGGGCAGTGGTGGTGGTGGTGGGGACTTCCCACGCCAGCCCCCTGCAGCCCCTGGGTCCCTGGGAGGGCCATCCACTGTCCAGAGGCCCTGGTGGATTCGGGGAGCCTGCTGGTTGCAACCCAGGACTGCCCCCCTGCCCTCCACTCTGGACATGCTTTTCCTTCCTTTTACTCTGGTCATCCTTGGGTGGAATGCTTACCTAAGCATCCCACCTCAGTGCTCAAAAGCCCAAAACTACTCAAATTCTCTCCACACATCCCAAAACCAACATAGTTTTATCCATACTGTTGGTGCTTAATGGTTGTTTACTAAAGGACATCTTAGTCCCTCTCATAGCCTGTAATCAGGAAAAGTTTTGCACATAAGAGCTATTGTGTTCAACTAGAAATGGTAAAGAAATGGGTCCATGTGTCTTTTGCAAGTTCCCAATATTGGTAAAGGGGAACCTCCCATTCAAAAAAAGGCTGAGAATGGAGGGATCAGGATTTGGAAACTATGATTATATTTTCTATTTTATAAATCCAACTCAAGGTTATAGTATTTGCTATAGTAATGACTGTCAACAAAGGAACAAGGGGGAATGGACAGAAGGGTGAGGTGACTGGATGGCGAACCAAGGGAAAGATCTAGTGAGCCAGAAAGGAAGTTCTGGGGCATGAAGAAGGCTCCAAAACAAAAATGAGAGCAGGCAGGGAGAACAATCTGATCCTTTCAGAAACAGTGCCCAGAGACGGTAAGGCAATGGCACAGCCCAGAGCGCTACATCTGGAGACAGGTCAGAGAGAAAGGAGGACGAGGGTGTGCGGAGGGACGGCTGGAGGGCTGGACAGAGGAAGCCGCCAGGGCAAGAGGAGATGGGGCAGCCCAAGCTTATCACCAGGTCCAGATGTCCTGTGAAGCCACATACTGGGGAAGGCTCCGCATATTTGCTTGGATCTTCCCTCTGACACTCAGGCCTTTGGAGCTCCTGGAGGGCAGACAGCATCTGGGCGGTGGGGAGAGATGCACCCATGTGAAAAGGGTGAGGGATTATTCCAGGTTGAATTCCTTCTTTCTCAGGTGACTGGATTCTGGCCGCCCTACACCTCCCCCTTTCATTCTTGGCCTGCCTCAGTCTGCCTGAGGCATGCAGGCAGCTGCTCCAACCACATGCCCTGTCAGGACCTGTTGCTTCACGGGGAAGAATGCAAGAATATCAAATCCTTTCAAATACTGAAAGGGGAGAGCTCTGCTTTGTCGGGTGTCGGGGTTTGGGGATGTGAGTACAGTACAAAATCATAATATAAAACACTTTAAGACCGAACCCCAGAACCCAGAGACAGTGGGGATTGGTGAGTCTTTTTGTTCCTTGACTGCAAGAAACCAGGGGTGGTGGAATTCTTTTGTCTCCAGCTCCAGGTGGGTAGGAGCACCCCCTGGTGGTACCCCTTCCCACCCTTGCCCCTGCCGTCACCAGCAGAGCTGTGGCTGCCTTTCTGAGCTGGGAGACCCCAGTACCTTTGCTTTGCCCAAACCCAGCACTCACAGCTGCATTCATCAGAGCCAAGCACATGTATATTCTGGTAAACCCATTGAGCAAGAAGTCCTCATCACCATGCCAGAAAAGGGATGCCCATCTTCAGAACCCATGGTCACGTAGCACCCCCATGAACCTTTGCACTGGAGGGCTGGCATAGCCAGGGTTAGAGGTAGGCTCTGCAACAGGCGAGACTGGCACTCTGGTCTCACCACCTTCCTGTGTGGCCACAGACAGGTAGGTGCCTTGGCCACTGTGTGTCTCACTTTACACAACTGCCATGTGGAAGTCTTCAGAATATCTACCACATAAGGTTGTGAGGATTTAAATGAGTAGATCAAAAGCACTTAGAATGGTGCCGAGCATATAATAGATGCTTGACAAATATTAACTCTTCTAGTCATTACACACAGCTCTTATGTAAAGATTTGTGTACTCTGGCTACATTTCTGGATTTTGGACTAGTCTTTTCATTCAGTGTTACCTTCTCAAAAAGAGCTGTGATATCATATTCCCTTGATTACCCTTTAAAGCATTCAGATGACCCTCAGTGCTACTGACTACCAATCTGCTCCAAGAATTGGCATCCTAGGCGGGTGTACCTGGAAGGAGCCAAGACAGGTACAGTTCAGCTGCTGTGAGGAGATGATTAAGAGAGCCCTTATTATATGAAGCAAAAATGACTTCCTTGTAAAACTGCTCAGCTAAGAATAAAGTGGTTTATTGTCACAGGCTGTTGACCTTTGGTCAAATTGAAATCCCAATTGGTTAAGCATCTAATCTAGGGGCCTTCTCCTTATAAAAATATAGAAAAGGATTCCCTCACTTTGAAGGAATCCTTTCCTATATTTTACCTAACCGCCAAATTACAATCTGTTATGTGAGTTTTACAGCACTGTTTTATCAGGTTTTAATTTAAACTGAAGTTCTGTGTGCCTGCACATGTGTGTACACACTTGTGAACCAAAACTTACATTCAGTGGCACTTTCTTACTCTGAATATCTTGTTTTCACTCCTCAGCCCCACCTTTTTTCACACTTACTTGCAGGTTTTGCCTCCGAGTCTCCAGATGTTCGCATATGGTATCCCATTCTGCCCCAAGGAGATGGTGTCTTGCATTATTGACCATTTCTAATCACCTCACAGAAGCTTATAGACCCTATGTGGGACTCAGATAAAAAGGTGAGCTAGACACAGTCTTGGGATCACAGGCAACAGAGATATATTTGCCTCTGGGACATCGATTATAACTTTTAGGCCAAAGGCTACCCCTGAACACTGTCCTGAAGGCCAATCTGCATAGCAGCTCTGCTTCCATTAATGAAGGCTGCAGGTGCACCTGAGTTAACTGGCTGGCTAATGCCAACAGCTGAGAGGATGGAAAAGTGAAACCGGAGTCAACTAGGCCATGGAAACTCAACATGGTCATACTAAGTCTGTTCCTTACATATCTCTGCTTAGAAGAAAACAATTACCTTGAAAAATAAACAGTGAAAGTTCTGCTGTAATGTGTACTACAATTATAATCACTCTAGGAGTCCATATATAAGCACATACAGGCATCCCTTCACAGATAACATAAGGTAGATGAATGTGAGGGAAATATGGGGAGAGGTAGGGAAATTTAAAAAAAGAAAGAAAAGGAGAGGCAAGACGGGAAAATTAAATGGTGAGAAAAGAGGAAAAACAGCATGAATCTCACCCTTATTTAGGAATTGCTACATGCATTGTATGACA